TGGAAATACGGGAAGACTTGAATTATGTCGTGCAACCGGTGAAGATACTTGACAGGCAAGTCAAGAAATTGAGAAGCAAGAAAGTCCCAATGGTTAAAATCCTTTGGAAAAGTGACCGAGTTGAGGAGGAAACTTGGGAAACGGAAGCTTTGATGAAAGAGCAATACACGTTTTTGTTTGAATGAACATTGTGAATTTCGGGGACGAAATTCCTGTTAAGGGGGGGTGAACTTGTAACACCGACCCCGAGCATATTTACTTTTAGTAAATTATGTAATAAACCTTGAAGGATGATTTATGAATTTGCGTAATTGTAAATTTTTATTATTTCTTTTACGTGAATAGTAAATTGCATGTGGGGCCCACAGTGGGAACGGGGACCGCCCGATAATTCCCGAACCACATATTATATTCATCTTGGTCTAGATGACATCTATATGGTGGTGGATATTTTATTTGGGCCATAAGAAAGGCATGGAGTTGACCGGTTGGTCAAACGGGGCCCAATTACCGGTATTGGCAATTTAACGGATAACAGCCCGAAATGAGTTTCGGAGGCTCCTAAATTAATGTTGGGGAATGTACATCGTTTCTAAAGGCCCAAAATTGTTGGGAACGCGTGATATATTTTATCCGGACCGATAAAATAAAATATGACTAAAGTAGTCCGGAAAATACAACTTTCGGGGCCAATTATACACACCGGGATATAATGGGATGACCTCCCACATAAGTGGGGGCCACCCCACGACCCAATGTGCTGCAAATGACAAGGAAGCAGCTGGGGGGGTGTACCTAGTAGGTGGGAAGTCTCCAAGAGACAAAAACCCATACCCCCCATGTCCTTGCATGCATTATTTTGGTGAGTTGAGTGGTTGGAGATACATCTCCCTCACTCATTGTGCAGCATTCGGCCCTATCACTAGGAGAGAGCTCTAGGAAAGTCTTCTCACCAAGACCAAGCTCAAAGAAAGCAAGAAGGAAGAGAAATCCAAAAGGAAAAGCTAGGAGAAGGGGTAAGAACACAATTTCTACTCTTTAACTAGTTTTATTGTGTATGATTTCTAAGAAATCATATGGTGGATTAAACCATGAGTTCTACACGTTTAAAAGTGTAGAATATTGATATAAAGTGGTGGCATTTAACTTAGGAGTGTTGGTGAATCGATAGGAGTCGAAATCGCCGGAAACCGCTAAGTATAGCAGGCTGCTCGAACCTGCAGCACACGAACGCCGGGCGGCTTTTGGCGAAAGCCGGGCGGCTTTTGGCGAAAGCCGGGCGGCTTTCAGCTACTTCCCAGGATTCTCGTTTCAATCGGCCAAGAACGGGGATTTATCGAAGGGCTTCGTAAAGGCATCTAGTTGAGCACATCATAAGGTGAGGATGGCTGACTATATTGCTTATAATTAGTGAGTTAATATCATGAGATTACCGAAGGTAATTAAATGTGTTTTTATGGATTATTAATGATTAATAATGCCTAAAAATGAAAAGACTAAATTTCTAAAGAAAAAGGAGCATGATATACAAATTTAAGAGTAAATTGTGTATGTTCATGTGTTATGAGTATGTTGACTTGAAAGTGGAATTTATTATGAAACATATGTTGAAATATACTTTTTTCTTCATATTAGAATATATGAGTGATTAAAAGTGATATTTTGAATATTGAGAGAAATGATATTTTCAAAGGAAAATCAGTTGGAATTGTCTATATGACTATGAGTTGAGAGCTTGGGTTGTTGATATTAATTTGACTAGTATTAAGATACTAGTTGGACATTAAAATGAAATATTGTTAAGATTGATCCTAAGGTTGGATTGTGAAATGTTATGCCTTAAGTAGTCTTAAGAGATGCTTTAAGGTAGGAAAGTATGAACTTTAAGTTATACTAGGGGTAGGCCTTAAGGGATACCCCAGATAACGTAAATATTAAATTGATCCTAGATATAGGATTGGCCTACAGGTGTGCTCGGTAGTCCTTGTGGATAGCCGGTTGAATTATGGAAATAAGTAAGGACCATGGCCCTTCCCGACTCTTGAGAGCGGGGTTGGATAGCATGGACTTACATCGTGATCACGGGTTAGGGTGGAATACGAATCGGAGACCTAACTAGGTTCCGGTAGCGGTAACACATAAGATAGGACCCCGAAGGGCCTTACCTTCTTACGGGATGATGGGTATGAGTCCAGGGGCGAGATGTTGGAGTCCGAACCGGGAGCCTCATGAGGTCTCGGACAGCGGTAGCAAGTCCCGTAGAAATAATAAGACCCAAGGGTTGGGTTGTGCAAATGATAAATGAAAAGGAACATGTAAGAAGGGCCGTGTGCCGACAGATAAATAAATTCACTTATTATAAAGATAATAAGTGGGAAATATAAATTGTTATTTATATTATGATATCACCCTATTTTGAGGGTCTTGGAAATTAAAACGTTGATTATACTTAGTATAGGGGCTATTGTACTTGTCAAATATTTCCAAGTACTGACCTCCCCTTCACGGGGGAGGCCACCTCACAGTTTCAGGTAGAACTTGAAGGTTGCTACCGGCGCCCGTTGCTTCGGGGATATTCAAGGGAGAAGACGTGGTTCGTGCTTCTTCTGTTCCTGTTTTCAAAACAATTATAACAATGCTCATGGATATTATCTTTTGAATAATTACTTTGGGGGCTTGTATGCCTAGTTATGCCAAGTGTGGCTTGAACAATTGTATTAATGCTTCCGCTGTTTTAAATGAATGTTTTACATTATGTTTGTTTATGGATGTACTATGTGTGAATGATATTCATGACGCCTTGTATAGTATGGATGAGTTGGACTGCGGTTGACTATTCGTACTGTACGGCGGGTTGTTGACGTGTCCGGCTAGGTCCGGGGCGTGACATTTTAAGAGGGACTTCTCACCTGATCTTTTCTATATATATATATATAGAAAAGATACACACACACACACACACACACACACACACACACATATATATATATATATATATATATATATATATATATAGAGAGAGAGAGAGAGAAATGATCTTATCCAGCACTTCCTCGTCCGAACACTATCGTTTAGGGCGGTTCCCGGTGGAATTTTTTGATGAAATATTTTGAGCATGTTTCTCATAAAGTCTAGTTTATCTGCAAAAAGTTCCAGCTCAAAATTCAATCCGGAAGGCAGTCAAATCATTTTTTAAAGTTGACTGCGTTTTTCTATGTATATTTTGGCGCAGTCCCTTGTAGGTCTCCATGTGCCTCATTGCAAAAACTCCAGAATCATCTATAAAATTTCAGCTCAAAATTCGATCCGGAAGGCAGTCAAATCATTTTTTAAAGTTGACAGCGTTTTTCTATGTATATTTTGGCGCAGTCCCTTGTAGGTCACCATGTGCCTCATTGCAAAAACTCCATTTGATCTAGCTTTTTTCATCTATGCCTTGTTGTGTGGGCCTTTGCATCTCAGTTTATTCACAAATACCTTTGTTGCACATTTATAAGTGAAATTAGCAATGTCAAAATGCCCATTACTTCTTATTTATGCATACTACTATTTTAATCAATCTTTCTAAGCAATCTTCATATTTATCTTGTAAGGACACCCTTATTGATGAAGAGTTCAAAATATCCATCCTCCTACTTTTCACATCGAAACAGATAACATATCAATGTCTAACTTGCATCACTCAAATGATAAATTGCATAACATACACATATAATTGAAATAATCTATTCACTCTTCCATTCAGATCCTAACAACACCAATCAAAATTTACCAGATCCACGTCTTTTAGCGTTGTTATTTCTTTGACCCTCTCCACTCCCAGATCTGGATTTTCTCCGAATAAGAGATATGTTTCTACATAATGTAATGTCTCTTTTGATGTATATAGCTGCAATATCATTACACTTATAAGCACATTAATGTTAATGCATAAATTTATTCCTACCATTCATGCAACTTACACATGAAAATGCCTTTGTAAACACCCGTCAGAGAATCTAAACTCCTAAAATTTCCTTGTTGTTTAACATAGTCACCGACACATCGATCACGCTCTTCCGACATGTTTATCTTCACCCAATATTAATAATTCTTCACGTTTAACCTCCACTGTATTGTACTTGAAGATTACTTCATTCATGAACCACCTAACATAATTAAATTACAAAAACAAATAAACAATATATTTACGCATAATGTTGTAAATATACTTGTCTGCTTTTTCATCGAGTAGGGTCCATTTTCCAGCTGCCTTTTCAAAACGTCCCCAACTATCAACTACATCAACAATCATGCTGATGTATGAAGACTTCAGCACTTCGGTTGCTTTAGCTGTTCTTTTTTTTTGCTTCTTCAATTTAAAGAATGTCATTTTGCGCATGCATGTCATTGAATTTATTTAATGCGCAATATGGTTTTATAATTTATTTAACTATCGTCCAAATAAAATTTTATGTTGAAATTTTGTAGAGATAATATACACTTGATAAACCATGTGCTCATAAATTTCATTAGGAAGGACCCCAAATGGCTTTGGCCGGACGACGATTCTTGTGAGGACCGCTTGAGGAGATCATTTCTCTCACTCTCTCTCGATACACACATGAGTTGAATAAAAAATGTCTTAGAGAGAAAAAAATGTGTAGTTGCATCGGCTTTTACCTGTTTTCTCGTTGCACTTTATGAGTGTAATGCATTTTTGATGTTTTCCAAAAAAAACCACTTATTTACAAAATTGATGTTAGAGTTGGTAGCAATTGTGAATTCATTCATTCTTAAACAAAATTGATTTTTCTTTTGATGACTTACTTATGTTAACAGCCCCGAGAGGTGAGAACCATCTTCTACGGTTTGGAAAAAAAAAATTAGCAAGCTAGCCTCCTTCCTCCCTTTTTCTGACTCGAATTCACCTTTGTCGGCCTATTTCCGGCGAGATATTCCTACCGGCGCCCAACACCTTAAAGGTAAAAGAACACCAACAGTCTTGGATCGGATCGGATCGGAGGAGATGGATTCTTTTGAATAGTAAGAGTGCTTTGAATAGAATTAAGCTAAAAGATTTTTATTTAATTTGGATCGGAGTATGATAAATCAAATTTAAAAATTATGGTTTGGCATCCACCAACCAACCAGGACCACACTCGCCCAGATATATTCGGATCGCCTCAAAATCCAAAACACAAGAAAAGCAGAGAGCAGCATTTCGTATCTTCACAGGGATGCCCAAATTTAACATCGTCTGAGAATCGAAATGTCCACCGCCGAACTCCTTCATATCGATCCTTTAGATCTCAAGTTTCCATGTAACTTCGTCTCTTCCTATCCTATCTATTTCGACCCGTTTTTCGTCTAGTTTTTTCCATGACTCTTCTGCTTTGTTTCATTTCATCAGTTGAGCTCAAGAAGCAGATCTCTTGCTCGATTCAGTTATCAAATATAAGTCAAACTCATGTCGCTTTCAAGGTGAATTGGTTTTATGTGTAATCATCTGTTCATCAATGAATGTCGAAATAGGAACCTATGCATATTTACTCATTAAATTGCTTTTTGTTTTCAACCTTTTTATTCATTTTCTAGGTCAAGACGACTAATCCAAAAAAGTACTGCGTTCGCCCCAATACGGGCGTTATTTTTCCTCGATCCACTTGTGATGTTGTAGGTATTTCCTACACACTGCCTCCACGTGTTTTTCTTTATTCTTTCTATTTCGTCTATCAAAACATCTGTGCTTAAATTAAGTAAAAGTGTACCATTTAGATATCTCATCTGTTGTTATTGTTGTAAATTAATGGTTGATTTTTTCTTCATAATAATTTCTGTGATTTTTAAGTAATACAATCGGTATTTGTGATTATTGATGTTCTAGTTTTCCATTGTTTGTGTAGTAACAATGCAGGCACAAAAGGAGATGCCTGCTGAGATGCAATGTAAGGACAAGTTTTTACTTCAGAGTGTAGTTGCAAGTCCTGCGACAAATCCAAAAGATGTTACTTCTGACATGGTAATAAAACAACCAATTTAGTGATCGCAAAATCCATAAATTCCCATCTGTCATCCTGTTTGGCTTCTCAGATTACAATTGATGCTGGTTATTAAACAGGGCCTGGCTTTCCAAAGCGATAGCCAGCCTGGTTAAACTAGACCTGGGGAAGGGTCAGTGCAACACCAAATGATAAGACAGTTGTGTATGTGTGGGGGAAGTGGAGAAGGTTGCTATTATATAATGGAGGCCATGAGGCCAGATGTTACATATGTGCAGTATGGGGGTAGCAACTGTCGAGTACATTATGTAAAGCGGTGAAGACACATGCCTACTAATAGAGACATGTGTTCCTCACTTTCACCACGCGAGCGGTCCCATACTTGAGCTACCCTTGTACCCACCCTGAAGCAACCAACTGGCGTAGCTTTTGGATTCACTATTTGAGTCCGCATTTGGTTGTTCAGACCAGGTGATATCACCCATCAACAAGAAAATGAAAGCAGAAAATAGAGGGATAATAGCATAGTCGTACCATAAGCAATGACTAGATTAGCTACATGTTTGGTTTCTGTATGAAATAATTGGATTAATCAAGATTTTAACTTGATAACCGTGATACGTGAATTAATGAATTAGTTACACATTTTCTCTCGAATTCACGTGAAGAACTTGTTTTGACACGAATTTCAAAATGGTACCATTTTGAAACAATTAAGTGAACATCACGTACCGGTTTCCTTCAATTGAGTTACTCAAAAGGCATCAATGCCGATAGATGCGGTACCATTTATACATTTACCCAAGAAAATAGAATTAGTTGCTGGCGTTAGATTATGATGAATGGGCTATTTTTGGCTAAGTATGATGATAAGCCAGGGTTCTCATGTCAAAGAAAGCCTAAGTGGGGATTAAATTTGCAGTTCAACAAGGAAGCAGGGAAGTTAGTGGAAGAGTGCAAGTTGAAAGTCGTATATGTGTCTCCGCCTCAGCCACCGTCACCAGTTGCAGAGGGTTCAGAGGAAGGTCTATCACAAAGTCCAACCTTGACAGAGAACGGCAATGCAAACTGTTTCGAGGTTGTTTCTCAACTTTCTGACAATGAATCATATTTGAATTCCATTATGGCAGTTTCTAGCAGTTTCTGACTAGTTTCTAGCAGTTTTGTGTTTGATTAACGTTTTGCAATATATTGTAGTAATAATTGATAATAGTACTGTGTTTGTTTCTCTCAGGCGTCAAGATCTTTTAGCGATTCATTTGACAAATCTTCTGAGGTGAAGTTGCTATATATAATGATCTCTTCTTCTTGCAGTTGCTTGATGAGTACCTATTGCATACAGAGATCAATTTATCTTGATTGCTATGGTTCTTGTTGGGGCAACATATTGTTGAAATATTGATCAAATATAATTGATTGACTAGAACTTTGGATTAATATCGAATTTCAGACAAAATCACTTATTTCAAAACTGACTGAGGAAAAGGTTGCTGCAGATCAACGAAACAACAGGCTTCGTCAAGAACTGGTTTGGCATTTAGCTTTCTTTTTGTAGTTCTTTTATTATTTTGGATACTTCATAGAATGGCATTCTCATTTAACTAGTTCCTCACTTCTTAGGCTTGCGCCAATTCTAGATACCAATAACTTGAAGCACAACTGTACAACTAGGACATATACACTGAAATGTTTGTGATTCTACTCTGGACCAATGCTGTAAGAACACTGGGCAGTCTATTGGGGCCTGGTGCCTAATTGGGGAGTAATTGGGGCTTTGGTAGGATTAATGTGGAACTCAGTGCAACTTAAGGGTATTTTTGGTTTTGTAGTATTGGGGGAGGGGGGAGGGGGAGGGGAGGGGACGGATGCTCTCCTTCCCTCACTTGGTAAAATAAACTGGAAGGAGAGGGGTTTATTTTCTCTCTACCGTGATTTTCTCTCCCTCCAGTATGGAGTTTCTTACACGGGAAGTTAAAATTCAAACCTGCAACAAAACCAACAAAGTAACACAAAAGCACTCCATCCCCCTTCCCCACCATTTATCCTTTCATGAACCAAACACACCCTAAATGGGAGGGAAACCTAAACATCTCAAGGTATCCAGGTGAGGATTTTTAAAGTTGTTGATGTAGTTATATCCTGATCAATATCCCCTCTATTTAGGAATCAGAAGTCCCTGTGTTCGTGCAATGAAAGAGCATTGGCTCAGATTAAGCTGAGACTTAAAATATTTGTTTAAATATGATTTGAAATGTCAATATCTGGGCCCAGAGCTAGATAGAGTGGTGTTAAATAAACGGAGAAAAGGTTTAAACTAACTAGTTCTACATGCAGGAGCTCTTGAAGTGTGACACCCACACAAGTCATAGAGGTGGTGTCTCATTTATATTTGTCATCACTGTTGGCTTGCTTGGTGTGATCTTGGGTTACATTGCGAAGAAATGAAGGCGCACTTATTTTAGGACACATCTTTCTGTTTCTAACTTCCCTCCACGGAAATCCCAACATTTCCCTCCATGGAAATCCCAACTATGGGGGGTGGCATGGAAAGAAATTTTGAAACCGTTAGCTCAACAAAACTCATCTCACATTGGTGGTGGTTTTGGAGATTTTTTAGCTCAGCTATTTGTTTGTTCATTGGTCTGGTCTCCCTCTGTTAACCCTTCCTTTTTATGCAAGTCCCAACAAGCATGCAATATATTGTAAAGACTGCCCCATTTTTTTCATTCCAGCTGTTATGCCTCAAAATGAGACAACGATCATTACGTTTCCCCCCTGGCCCCTTTTTATTATTTTGTAATTTTTACTGTGCACATGTGTGTAGGGGTAGACTGGGCCCGGGTTGGGTCGGAAAATAATTTTTTGGGGGTCTTTTTGAATTAATTGTAATGGGAAAAAAATTAAAAAACAAGTAATTGGGCCCGGACCTGGGCCGATTGGGTTGGTCCACCATTTTCAGATCCCGGAGCCCCCCCTTTCGTACGACCGGCTTGAGCCTCAGTCCCAGTCCTCGGCCCGGTTTATCGGGCCGGGTCGGGCCACAACAATGCCGGGCCAAGTCCTGGGTCCTGGACTCCCGGGTCGGGCTGACCTGACCTAGTCCACCCCTACGTGTGTGTATGTAATGGCTCTTGATGAATTTTGGGAGAAAATAAATAAATGTTTTAGGATGCCACACCAGAGCTAGCCGCTAGGAATGACAAACGTAGGGATTAGATAATTTGGGTAGAATTACCTAGGCATGCATTATTCAAGACGGGTTGTGCCGTTGTGGTTACTTGGATGGTTGCTTGGGTTGTATTCTAAGCCAATTGGCAAATGATTGTTTGAATTAATATATTGATCTTTTCCTTAAAAAAAGATAATTTGGGTAGAACCCTTTAATAAGTTTCAAACAAATCAGGTGATAAATATGTTTAGTAAATCTCATTTCATAATATAGATACTATTTGGTTAAATTGAATCATAACAAGCTCCCTTAGCGAGTCTTTCTTTATTTTTGTTGAACTTGGGATTTGCATGATCTCATGTCTTATCCCAAGTTCCAAAATCCAAACTAGGGGTGGATTCGGGCTGGGCTGGGCCTAGGCTTGGGTAGGCCGCCTGTTTTGAATAGGTGGGCTCGAGACCAGTCCGGGTAGCCACCGGGGCTGGTTCAGGGCCGGGTTGGGCCTCCGGTCAATTTTTTTTTCTTTTCCTAATTAACCCCTCTCCTACCCCCAACCTCCAAACCACTCCAAATGGCCCAAAATACCTAGCCCAACCCGAAAAGCTAAAAAAATTGAAAAAAAAAAAAAAAAAAAAAGCCTGGAACCGGGCCGGTTCGGCTTTTGGGTGACCCGAGCCCGCATCGGGAACCCTCCGGGCCGGGCCTACCCGGACCAATCACTGGCCGAGCCATCGGGCAATGCCGGTTCAGCACAGTGCCGGTCCCGGGTCGGGCCACCCGGCCCGAGTCCACCCCTAATCCAAACCATTCAACCGGAAAGATCAGATAACCCTCTTGAGATCTAAGTGAGGAGTCAAAAATAAATGTAATCCGAATCTAGGGTTACATTCATGTCTGGCCTTTCAGACTTGTAAACTCCGCAAGTCTGGTCTGCAACAAAATACTCCTAACCGTTGGATGTGGGAAAGGGTCCAGATTTTAAAAAAATGGAGACCATCTAGACCAAGCTTTGGCCAAAGTTTCGTCTCAAGCTACACAACTGAGCTTCGTCCCAAAAAAAGGTGCCCAAGTCGTGCTTCGTCTCTTCTTCCTCCTATTAAAAAATGTGATTTTTAATTCTGAACTAGTGTTTGATGTAAAGTGAATTGGGCTGAATGTTAGAAAAATCCCCATACACCCTATATTTTAAAATTTGAAAAAACTTATAGTCTAGTATATATTTTTGTGTAAGTATTTTTAAAGTTTTTGAAAATTTGAAAAAACTTTAGCGAAGTGGACTAATGGCAGCTTAAAGTTTTTTCAAATTTTTTTGTGTAAATATTTTTAATTTTCATATTTAGCCCACTTCGCTAATGTTTAAGTCTAGTATAATTGATTTTCGGTCAAAGGAATCCGGAATTTCTGGATCTGACCCTGAGCCCGCCATCCTTCCCAGCGTCACCGTCAGTCCGTCCATTCATCCCAGATGGCCTGATCTCCATGAATCGTTGGTCGACTGTCATTCAATTCTTCTCATCATCTGTGATGAACAAACAATGTCAAATTTGAGTTTAGATCGACCAAATTAACATTTCCATATCTGAAATTGAAAGAGAGTATCAAAATTTGGGCATAGCCAAAAACCTAAATTAAACAAAATGAAGTTGAATGTGGGAAGAAGATAATCATTGCAATGGAGGGAGAACATAAACAAACAAACAAAAAAGAAGAAAAGCAGGGGAGAATAGTACATGGTTAAAGCAAACTTGAACCGGGAAACCATGGCTACAACTCATTAGTGTGCAACCTGTCAATTGCATCAGAATGGAATAAAAAGAAGGATGACACCTCATCCCCGAGGGCCCTAATCCCGACCAGACGATATATTGAGAGTATGTAAGTTGGACTATAAACACAATCCTGAATCGAGAGCTGCGTGGTGTTCTATCCCTGTTCCAACAATGCATTTCTCGGATCGAGTAAGGGGAACTGCTTGCCGTTGCATATTAGAACTCATTAAGGAGATGACTGAGTGGTTTATAGCCCCGGTCTTGAAAACCGGTATAGTTTACAGAACTATCGAGTGACAGATAGAGAGTGAGATTCTATTTGTGAGATTGGAATAAAGAAGGGGAGGGGGGGGGGGGGGGGGGGGGGGGGGTAAAAGAAAATAGAAAAGAAAATGGGAAAGATGACGACAAAGACTAGAGTTGAGTCGCCTGCCCTCCTCCTGTGTTTACTTTCCTTTCTTTTTCTCTTTTTCTCTTTTTTCTTTTTCCTTTCTTTAAGTAGTAGGTCATGTCGGATCAATATGAGAATTACATGGGATTAATATGAGAAGACTATTAATAGTTAGGGTTATTTATGTGAATTTTTCTTACTTTAAATCAAGTTACTTAATAATAATAAGGGAAATTTACGACTAAACTAGCTCAATCACTTTTCATAAAATAGGATCAACCAGTTTAAACTACCTTAAATAGGGCTTTTTATTTGTGATTGGACCAAAATAACCTCATATGTCTTTACCACTGCTGTCCCGGGGATGTTGGACTGCCGCCTTCCGTCACCGTCGGACCGTCGACCGCCGCAGCCAGAAATCTTTCCATGTATATGTGGCAGCCTACCAGCATTTCCGCTACCGCCGCTGCAAACTGTCGTCGCTACCGGATTCTTCTGCCAGCACCATGAACTTTCCTGTCATCAACGGATTGCCCTGGTTATGCAAGGAAACTATGGGGAAATTATTTAGGTTAATTGATTCATTAACTAAATTAGGTGTAGAAATGGTCTTAGTTTGCACAATTATCTCTAATAATAATAATATGGGAAATTTCCCAAAATATGAGTAAAATTGTTTGAAAATTCCAAAATAAGAATGTCATGTTTTTATTCTCTAAATAGGAGTAATTACTACCAAAATTGGAAAATACTGTCATGTTTAAAGGCTGGTACTGCCAAAACATGACAACACTTACTCCAATTTGAGTAATAAAAACATGACAGTTCTATTTTGGAATATACAAACTTGTTTAGTCCTATTTAAGACAATTTTCCTAATAAGACTTGTGGAGGTTCTCAGAGCGATGAACGAACACTATGAGCGTGCAGACATGCAATGTGGGGGAGAGGATCTACGAGTTAATTACATGGGAGAAAGTGATAATGATAAGCAGCTGAGTGGGAAGCAAGATATGAGATTTTATTTTGTCCGGGACTAAATTCAAGAGGAAAAGAGAAGATGAGTGCTGGCGTGGAGCATGACCATGTTAGAGTTATGGGGAAAGGAGATTTTAGAAAGAGAAGGGTGATGGATCTTCAAAATGTGGTGGAAGTTCAGGTCCATATAGAGATTGATGAGGACGGCCCAAAAACGGCTCGACAGCGGTGCTCCGGAAACAGTACCACCTGGAATACTGGCAGGACTCACAAATGAGATGCTTCCTTTGAGGTGGTTGGCCAAACCTCTTCTCGCTTCCTGGTGACTGGTAAAACCGAGATGCTTGAATTTATATGTTACTTTTTGTAAGAATTACTTATCATTTTAGTAACAAATTCAATAGTGTTGTTAGATCAATGTAGCTTTGTGTTATTGTATTGTTTTTATCTTTTGTTACTTTTATCATTAATAAATAAGTTTCCCCTTTTTGCAAAATAGAAAATGAAGTTGTAACAAGTCGAATCAAAAGTGTATCTTCTCATTCACATATAACGTCATATATAGAAAGGGGGTAGGGTTAGAGTTACAACTTATTTGAACTATACTAAATGCAAAAGATTTTTTCATTATTATTTATTTGCACAACTTATTCATAACTACAGTTTGTGCTTTCAATATTTATTATTCTTAAAATACAATTAAATTTCTAATGTGTATAAGTCTCTCAAAAGTTAATATATATCGGGTTTATATTCACAAGTGTATACATGCATCAGACATTATATTATCCTTAACACACAAAAAATCACCTCTAAAATAATCATCAATCTAGTGATCTCTTACTTTCATAGAAATAATATGAATCACGCAGTTAAGGATGTGTATGGGTAGGCCTAATTACTTAATACTATCCTTGAAGAATGAATTTCTAAAATTTATTTTGATTTAAAATAACATGTTATCACTATTATATTTTTCATTGTTGGAAAATTAATACAATATTTATTTCAATGAATTAATACAAGTACAATCCACAAATTATATGTCAAACCTGTCCTCTTATAATAACTCCTAACACATTATTAAAATTCACATTTTCATTTTATAACCGATCTGGTTGTCATTCTCCCCATCTCAATTGCATAAATCTGATATAATCACTCTATATTGTAAATATTTTCATTTTCATTATGATACTTAAACACACTTCATGGCTTTCATGCATAGCTAAAATTGTATGAACTTGAAATTTCATTCACACATATAGATAGCCATATATATGGGGGGAGTTAAGATAAAATTCATGATCATGGACCATTACATATGGGCCTAAAATTACATAACGGGCATTCATAATCTAAGTTACCTGTGGTAATTACCCGAAAGGTCTACTCTGCTATGCCCTATATCATTTACGGCCTAATTGCTTTTCCTTTTATTTTTTTTTTTACCTTTTAAGTTTTCAATTTTATTTTCTTATTTCACTTTTAGCCAGTTTTTTTACCGCAAATTTCCGATCGGCTTTCTCAGATGAAAATTTCCAGGAAAGCCAACAGAGAGATAAATAAAATGGCACAGGCGGTTGTCCTCAACTTGAAGAGGGCACTCGCACACGCAGTTACCGCCATTATCTGCGGAATCCACCAAATATCTAGAGCACGGACGCACGGTAATGCGTAAGAAACACTTGAAAAGAGGCGATTCGGAATAGCAGAGTCTATCACCGCTGTGAAAAAAGCAAATCCTATGCTCGATGAGCGGTAAGAATTTGGGAAGAACAGGCGGTGTTCATCATACCTATCGATTGGATGAGCGAGCAACCTCTTTCGTTCTTTCTAACAGCAACCAGAATTCCCTGTATGTAGTGTTTCATCTCATCATCGTTTTTAAGTTATCATTAATATTTTCTCCTAGTTTTAGTCATGTTGAATTGGTTCATGATTTGTGTTATAAACTCCCAATATATGATTACAGAAACATTTAAATGTTTTTTTACATATGAGTGGGTGTGAATTCATTGATAACTTAAGAAGTTAATGTAAAAAATTTATAAAGTAACTTAATGTTGGAAGTTTGCAAGTGAAGTGTTTGAGAAAAGTCCCCAAAGAAGTACATCATGACTACAGTACATACCATCTTTTTTACTTCAATAGGTTAGATGGGAGAAATCTCACCATATGAGTGCATCATGACTACATGGGCATCAACTTAGGGAGAAGAAAACTGCTCGATTTAATCGAGTGAAGTAGTAAACTATCTAATAATCTATTGTTTTAGTATATCTATGTATGTACCTCAGTTGCTTTTTCTCTAAAAAGTTTACCTACTTTTTATCATCATAACAAGATCACTTTCTATATGTGCTTGATTGTATTCGTGTTCCATGCATAACAGTCCACCACCATGAATCATACTTGTGAATATGGTGAAATTTATGCATTTTGAGAGAGTAAAGCTAAATGTCATGTATAGTCATGTGGTGAACTCTGGATTTCGTGAGCTTTAACTTTATAAAACAGTTAAAAGTACTCGGTTAGCTTGATGCCTAGCTTAGACTTGAATAAAACAAAGTATATATTTGAGCACCACATTCAGTCTCACAAAAAATACTAACATATACGAAGAATACGATTAGCCTAGACACCATGCTTCACTTAGCTTGATCACCAAGTTTTTCATCTTTTGACTTTACTCACACTCAATCATACTTATGCTCCAACTACCTCGCGTGAATGCTAAGCTATCTCTCTCAAGAACACAGACTAATAAAATGCTTCTATAGAGAAATACATGGCCTAAGCTTAGCAAGACTAAATTTTTCTCTACTTCTTAGAGAAAAATGCTTCTTATTGACAATATGGAACCATTTATAAATTATAATACTACTGAAACGATGGTTCCAATTATTTTAAAATTACTACTTTATGTATCCCTCTATTCTACATTAATCTTCGTTTTTTCCTTTTCGATTTGTCCCGTAATTATTTTCTCTCTTTTTTAGGTAAAAATGTTCTTGTTATAATTCCACTTGAATCGACATTAAATCAAACAACGATTTGACGAGAGCATTTTTCGTCAAGACATCAATCGGGCCATAGGTTTTTCAATCAAAAAACATCACCGGGGAAGCAACATTAGTAGGATCTTGTTGTTGGGTTCTTCTTCAGCCCTAGCTAGTTGATGGAGTGACACCCCTACTAATGTTCAATTGTTGTTTCCGATCTAGAAAAATAATTTTAAGTATGGATTCATTGAATACTTTTGTGTTGAAATTGTTTCCTTTTTGTTTTATTGCATACTTGCATGTTAATGCATTTTGTTTCATCGTGTTGCATTTTGTTGCATCCTGTTGCATTTTGTTGCTATCATGTTGCATTGTGTTGCCTTTCATTTTGTTGCTATCATGTTGCATCCTGTTGCATTTTGTTTCACCGTGTTGCATTTTGTTTCATCCTGTTGCATTTTGGTGCTATCATGTTGCATTGTGTTTCCTTTTATTTTGTTTCTTTTTGTTGTATCGTGTTGTTTTTTGTTGAATCGTGTTGTTTTGTTGATGTGTTTGTTAATTTGGATTTCTATTTATATTTACTATTTAGGAGTAAAAACCAACACACACAAACACTCATAATAATAAATTTGTATTTATGAAAATGAACAACAAAAAACAGAAATAAATAATAAATAAGTACAATTTAATAGATAAAAAATACAAAGCAATCCCATGCCATGCAACAAGAAACAACAATAAAGTGGTGTGGTGATAATAATTACTTTTTGTTACTCCGTACTATTTTAAGACTTCAAAATACAAAACCTTGTGACCCCTTTTTCAACTTTTTGTTACTCCAATTATTTTTACTATTTAAAACATTTATTACTTTTATTTTAATACGAAGTATATATGTATATTATTTAATACTTGAGATTTTAGATTATTTTCATTTTAATTTTTTCTTATATTCTTCACATCCAAAATTCCCAAAAAAAATACAGCGTATTTATTTACAATTATTGTATTTTTATGTTCTTTTTAACATTTTTGCTAATTTTCATTGGCATCCTAATTTACAGACTTTATAATCTTTCAATTTTGTATAACATTTCATTTTTGTAAAAATTTATAACATCTTTTCATTCAGAACATCTTTTCTAATAATAATAATAATAATAATTATTATTATTATTATATTTATTATTATTATTATTATTATTATTATTCATATTGCTTTTAATTGTTAGTTTTGAATAAGAGTAAAAAATTGAAGTACATGAGCTCAATATTAATAAGGCAGTGAGGTCAAGTGTTTTGAGTCTTCCAAACTCGCATTTGTTCAATCAAGCCTCTCCACCTCCCATTCTGCATACCGTTCTCAATAGACCTGATAACATCCTAATTGGATGACCCTGTTTTTTGCTTATCCGCCAAATTTTCACAAAACACGTAACTTTTGATTTTGCATTCTAAATTATGTTATAATCAAAATAAGTTATACTTTAATTACTTTTATGATCGAATTGGCTAAAGTTAATTACGGTACAGAGCAATTTTAGCCGCACCCCACTATTCCGGTCCTGAACCAATTGACTAGTCCCAATCACCGGTTCTTTGTCCAACTGGTTCCGGTCTGATCCCATTTTGAATTCAGGTTCACGTTTAAACAAGAGCATGAGGGCAAGCTGAGGTAATCCATGCCATCCATCACAACTCACAACAGTATGGTAAATTGGTAAAAGAAGGAGCAGAAAATCTACAAGTCTGACTGTGCATAGTTGACTCTATACAATCCAGAACCAGTCATGCACTCATGCCCCACCACCCTTATTGACTTTTCTATCCCAAAACAAAACCTTACCCCACAATCATCATATACGGAGTATATATTTAGACACACATGCACCAAAAATTTTAAAAAGTCATATGTAACTTCTGTGGAGTCGTATAAGCTACGTGGATATCACCATTACCACACATTTTTTAGTGGGGTCCTGACTAGTGAGTATCCCACTAAAAATAGTGAGGGATCCCACTAAAGGCTATTCATGCACACAATCATGTATAAACACACACATATATTTATATGTATATATACATACAATTATATATATACCCATAGAGAGAGATGAAAAGATGATCAACTTTTCACAAGTAAATTCTCCCTTACCAGATTCCTGAGCCTATTTGAACTGTTAGATTTTAAATTTGTTCAGATTTTAAATTTGTTCAAAGATACACCCTGCACTTACCTTCTCAGTTCTCACTTTAAAAACCTATCTAGCAGATTAGATTAAATCATTATTAAAAAGTAGTTACCTTTGGTAAATTTAAATGTTAACGTGATCTAAAGGTTAAAACTCAAAACTAATTCTCATATATGGAGTGTTTTTTTAAAGAAACTATTTTGTTAAGGATAAGAAAGGGTACAAGACTAAACGTTAGGAGAAAATAAGAAATAAGCGGAAACCAACAAAAAAGAAACACGAAAGCCCTGTTACAACCAGGGTAATTAATACGGAGTAGTATAATAAGGGTGTAGAAATATGGCTGGACCGAATATCACTTTTAGTCACGTATAAAATACACTTTCCTAAAAGTTTACTATCTGCCCTTGTTACAGTAAAATGGTTACAAGATAGAATTTTTGAGGTGAAAAGAAGGTGAACAAGTGTCTTTTAGATACCGATAAAATAACACTAAATAAGTGATTTGTATATAAAGTGGTCTAAATATTAGTCACTATTACTGCAGATAATAGGATAAATATAGCAATATCTATTTATTTTTGGGACGAGAAAAAATCGATCCTCTTCCCACAATTCAACATCCGTTGTATAAACACCAGGAGACAACTGTACATATGAATCAATATGCCTCCTCCGAAACATGGTGATGCTTTGAAAGGACACATCTTTTGATAAGAAAATCAAAATTGCATTTTGATCCATGTACATACATGTACAATACGGAGTATGACCAGGTCATATTGAAAAGTCATGTACTTTTCCAACTTTGTAAAACAAAGTTTGTGCGTATATGAATATTAAATCAAAGCCATCATTTTCCATCTATTACAATTATTATTCAATGACGTAAATCATTTACTTATTCATAATAAAAAGTACTCCGTAATGCTTACGTCCATTTCATAATAATTATAATCATATTCATCCTTAAATATTATTTTAATTAACTTCTCAACGCCAAATCAAAATAATATTGTTCAGGATCAATGTTGAATATTTGAGCCACATTTCACAATAAATTTCCAACAAGCCCAGCCCAAACTAATATTCATATACGTCTGTATATATATTATGTATTTATGTGTGTGTGTGGAGCTAGCTAGTCAACCACAAAGATCAGTAGAGAAAGATGGCGCTTGGGTGCACAACAGATGGGAAGCTAGACGAGTCAAGGTACAGTGAGCCCATGCCATGGATCGGAATCTACGTAGCCATAGCATCTGCAGCTTGTGCGGCAGCTATGGCTACAGATATCTTCCATGGCCTGCGCTCCAAGAAATTGTTGTTTCCTTGCAAAACCTTCTCCTTAAATGCCACCACTTTGGCTCTCATGGCAGTGGGGACCAAACTGTCAGCTGATCTGAACAGTTCCATGCCCCGACACAAAGACCAGCTTACAAAACTCAGCAGCAGCACCTTCATCTGTGTCATCATGTCCAACGTGATGCCTTCTCTAGGAACCATGGCTTCGCCCAAAGAGCTGGTGATGAATCTGATGGCTTTGGTGATTTTTGTGATCACCGTTGTGGTTAACATTGGGATCCAGTTGGGCACACGTGTTGTATATGCTTTTTGGGAAGAACACATAGTGATCATGTTTGTTATGCTCATCTTGCTTCTCCTCTTGCTTTCTTCTGCTCTTGCAGTCCCAACAACAAAATCATATTTTGACCTCATGTATAGCAAGATATATAGCAAACTAGCACAGAAAGAGGGTGTGGACCGTGGCCGTGGAGGATGCTGCTTACCTGAGAAGCTGAAAGATGAGCTGATGGCATATTGGATGATGGCCCTTACATGTAGCCCCCAGTTTGTGGTGGGTCGCTCGGTGACGTGCACCGCCTCCGGGGCCTTTTGCCTTGTGAGCATGGTCATATACGGTGAAGCTCTGCTTCGTTCTTACCTCTTGCCCGACCATCAAGTTCTGCAGTGGAGAGTCCGATTACAAGTGGTCAACTGATTTGATTCTCGCGACACAGCTGGTAGCCATCCTGGTAGGCACAGTTGCACCAGCTTCTAGGTGGTTCATGGTCAATGATTTCCAATGCCGGAACACCAAGAACAGCCTTAAAGTGGAGGACTACTGGACCCGAAGCCTAGTTATGTGGAAAGAGTTCCCGCTAGACTTGAGAAAGCGGGCAAGGTGGGTACGGAAGCTTGCACACAATGCAAAGGACAACTTTTTGGATTTCTGTATTTTGTTGCAGAAGTTAATAGTGTATACAAGCAAGATAGTCCGGCTCATTTCCCTTTTCTTGGTGAGCCGGCTACTGATGATGATAAGCATCTGACAGTCGGACTCGCAAGGAGCATGTTCGTGTTCTTCTTCAGAGCTAGAAGATATGAAATGTTACGTTCTGCACCTAGAAGGAGAGGAAGCGTTGATGGATTGCATGATGGCATCCAACTTTGATGCTGCTGACCATTGGATCAAGATGGGTAAAAGGCGGGAACCGAAGAATCTCATGACACTCCTACATAATTGGACTCCAGCACAAGCACTTGTTGAATTAAATGGGTTTGACAGCGACCTCGTTCCTCTGTTGGATTGTAAAGGTGAGCCATCAAATTGTTGGGCGCTTCCAGTCGTGTCCCTCACAAGCATCACTATAGCGGTGGTATTCTCCTCGGGAACCAACCACAATTTAAGGGAACGACTGATGAAGTGTGTGCAAGAAGCAATGGTTTACATAAGGTTCGTGGAGGAAAAGCTCGACCAAGATGGAAGCTTGACAACCCTCAGGAAGGCTGCCCAGATAGTGTGGGTCAGGGTGGACCTCCATTACAAATGGCTTGATTTGGATCTCAGAAAGATGGGCAAAAAAGGAGAAGAAGAAACTCCAGGAATTATTTTGAAATCACTCTCTGCTGAAGCCAAACGGAGATACATCGAATACAAAAACAAAGATGCTGCTGCTATTTTTTTGGCAGAATCACCTTCAAAGTGGCCCCCAAAGATATTAGCTGCCAATTCCATTTACCGGATATGTCAATCTCTTCTTCAGCTTCTACCACTAGAAAGTGCTGAAAATCAAGATTGGCAGAGCAGTAATAAGATCATGTTTGAGAGGTTGTCCAACATGATAGCAGGGGCGTGTCTCACCAACCTACCTCACATTATATGCACGCTATGTCACCAGAGCAGCATGGAAGAGAGGGAAAAGAGTGTCCGCTTAGCCACAATGCTTCTGGGAAAAGCGGGTAAGATTTTGGAGTTTCTAAGCTACAAACCGCTTCCAAGTGCTTGCAGAACAAGATTGACGCACATTGATGATTGGAGAGCACTAAGCAAACAAATGGATAATCAGTGGCATTGTAATTCCCGTCGAAGTCGAACACACAAAAACAAGGCTCCCGCAGGATGTTCCTCCGACTTGTATTTAACAATTGAATAAGCTTATTAGAATATGTGTTAAATACAGAGTAACTGGCTATCTCTACACGTTTGATAGTCTATTTCAATTTCAGGCTTACGGCTTACCTCCTTTGTTTTACACATATTGGTAACCAGGTTTATACACACATTTTCCTTGAGGGCTTTCATTTCCCCGTTGTTCTTTGCAATTCAATGGAAGGATGAAGTCATTTCCCCCGACCAGTATTAGCTTTTCTATTTTATGGATTACATCACCATTATTATTTTCCATTAAAACTTTTTACACATGAAGCATTTTTCATGGGTGTAATTTCCATCAAATGGTTTCAAATTCAATATCAAGCAAGATAGTTGAAGTCATGAGGTGTGCACTCCAGGGAGTCCAGGCACTAGGTTTCAAATTGCACTCCGACCGACATGCAAGGCACAAAAAAGGTGCTCCCCTGACATATCATGCACACAGTATAGAAAATATAATGCATACTATTCTAGAATCACCAAACATGATACTACATATATTCTGCATAAAATGCATCAAACATGACATAAAAACTAGATACTTTCAAAAATTAAAAGATCTTTTTTGAGATGCTACAGGGAGTAGCATCTGAAAAAAGCTCGCAACTTTTATTATAAATTAGTCCTAACAACTTGTATACCAAACCAAACTAAATCAAACAGACAACTTTTTACCAAACAGCTACCACCTTTACTCTTTAAGATCTTTTCAGTCACTAAAAGCTAACAGTTAATATAAAGCTCACAAAAGTATCTTTTCAGCTAGTTGTGTCAAACGTACCCTTAAAGTGGTTTTTGAGAAAGTGTTTTATGGTAAATTTGATAGTCTTTTAGAATAGAAATGATTATAAATTTATAATAAAACGGGTATCTCCGCGCATCATATTTTTTACTTTGCGCATCCACAATCTTACAGATCGGATAATTTAGTCCTACACTTTACTTTTGTTGCACCAAGCCGCCAAGCTAACTCTTAGTTCTCAAATACGTAGCATCATGTCATCCCCTTTTCTTTTCTTTTTTCTTTTTAATTGATACTCTCCAATTGTTTGATAGAAGAATAATATTTTTCAAAAATTGAAAATTATAAAATCAAAATATTCATACTTAAATAAGACCTTTTTATATTAGTTAATTTAATTGTTTTTAGGATATAATAATTGAAATTATTTGAAAAGCCACCAATAATCATATTTATCATGTAGTACTCCCTTCATCTCGTTGAAATGTTTTCACTTTCCTTATTTAGGCGTGTCACTAAAAGGTTCTCATGCCATTTAGGAAATAATGTAATCTCTTTAATTACACTTTTATTCAAATTTCTGTTTCCTTCTTATTATATGTGATGGAGTATATGAGTCCAGACCTCATGACCTACATACTTAGAAGACTAAGAGGAAGCACAATTGTCACCTCGTGGGTCCTCCGTTGGCCAAATGGCCCTCCTTCGACCCGAAAGATATCAACTCAGAATATGGTCCAGAAGTCAGGAGAATCAGGGAGCCCCCATCGGCCGGGTCTCCATCGGCCAGACCTCTGTTGGCCAGACGTCCGTCGGCCAGACCTTCGTCGACCAGACGTCCGTCGGCCAGCTCCCTCATCGGTCACAGAGAGCTCACAGAACTAGCCTTCTCATGTAATTATCCCAATAGAGACCTTATATTGTAATGGGCCTCCCAAGCCAAAGACTTGAAAGCTCAGCCCACTTTTCTCCTATAAATACTCCCTACAGGAGCCATGTAAAGGGTTGGAAAATCATTAATACATATCAATTCTCTCTCTAGCTCTCCCTTCTCTCTAAGAGTTAATACTCTATCATTTGGTGCTTTCATTGAGAGCTAGATCAAATCAAGTAAGATCCTCCCAACCCATAACGTATCACACGAACGGATGACATGGTATCACCTCGGCTCTAGCTGGGCAACACGTCCCTTCGGCCAAGATCATGGTAGTAAGCTGGTTCCCCTCCGGCACAAGACGGACGTCCGCTCAGTCCAGAGCATGGAGAAAACAACTCCTTGTCTCCACCAACGGCCACCAAGGCGCCTCAAGCTGTCCCTGGGTCAAGAGTTGACCCCTCGGTCAAGATCACAACACAATCCACTCTTTCACCCTACGGCAAGGGGAAGCCTCTGTGGATCCCTCGGTCACGGACCAGAAACCATGACAACAGCAACCAGTGGGACGGCAATAACACATCGTCCACTAAGTCATCGGCTCAGGGAGAGGACGGCAGTGCCTTCGGCCAAGGAAAGCTAGTCGGCACCCCTCGTCTACAACGGCTCCCTCTTCGGTCAAACTTGAACAGGAGGACAAATCTCTCCCCCTTCATCCAGGGAAGAGGAGTGGCTCCAGCCTCGGCTAGAGGACCCTCGCCCACCGCATCGTCCTCGGCCAAGGTCAACAGGAAAACAAACAGAACGGGGGAGAACACTACACCACCCCCAACCCCACCTGTTGGCCATAAAGATTGGCAACAATGAAGGGGTGGAGCCGCAGGACACGTCTTCATCCCACTCCCATCCCGCCTCCCCTCCCCGTGGTGGACCGAATCCAATGCGTGGAAAAGCCTATGCCTTCAATAGGCTAGGTGACACGCGTCGTCGGCCAGCATCGAAGAGGATGGCAGGACGGATTGGCGAACGTGAGCTTGGATAAGGGCAAAGGCAAGTTACATGAGGACGCACACCATCAGATCAACGTGTCCCACATCGTCCGCCTTCAAACTCATCAGGGCGCCACCACGGCCGCCAAAGACCCCTGAGACGAGGTCATCGGCCGCCTCGAGCAAAGGCTCGCCCAAATGGAGGCCAAGCAGATGGCCGCCATTCCTACACGTTGTCCAAGAGTTAAAAACACCACGCCGATGGAAGAGCTACGCATCGGCCAAACAGAGCCCTCACCTCAATCAAGGGAACGACTCAATAGCCAACCTCGGGGCCAAAGGAAGCTCTCCAGTCAAACCTGGACGGAAGGTGAGACGAATCTTTTATTCCTTGTCTTGGAAACAGCAGAGGTGCTCCACTTTGGCCAGCCAGCAAACCTGGTGGTCACCTCATCATTAAACAGCCACTACGTACATCTTATCAGCGGCAAATAGTAAGGAAGCAAACACTGCAGGGCCCTCGGCCAAAACGATCGAGGAATACATGGCCTCGGCCAGCTCGAGCTTTCACCCCTGCAACAACGGGAAGCCTCAGTGCACCCCCGACCAGTGCAGCACCTCTGGCTCTTCCTCAGTCAACAAGTCACATCTCGGCGCAGAGGAAGGGCAGTTCCTTCGACCAAAGCTGAACGACAAATCTCCCACCCTTCATCCTGGAAACAGAAGTGGTGCCCCCCCCCCCCCCCTCGGACGATGAAGGAAAAAGGGCAACAACGAAGAATTTCGCATCGGCCATACGGTGGGAAGAATTTCACTCCGGCCAACCGGTTGAGGAGGACATGCTTCGGCCAAGTATCACTGCAGCTCAAATGAAGCAGCGCTAACAACAGCCCATCGTCTACACTGATCAAATGGCACCACCTTGGCCGAGCAAGCCTTCGTCTCAAGGTGGCACAGCCCCGGCCAAGCAAGTCCCCGAGGTCAGGAGAAATTGGCCCTCTGCAGAATAGCCCCTCGCGTAGGAAAGGACCACCCTCGTCTCTGAACCTCCTCGGTAAAAGGCAAGCTTGTGGGGACAAATGTCACCACCCTTTAGGCCAGGCGCAATGCAGAAGGCAAGCTTCGGGGAATGCTTGTCTCCACCCCTTATGCCTCAAAGCGGTAAACGATACACCTCAATCTCCGAGCCGCTAATTGTGTCGCCCAAAAGCCGTTGCCATGAACAACGCACTTATCGTGCTCTGCTTATTTTTTGTAAATTTAAGTAAAGGATGCCACACAACACAGTGCATCGCACTAGCCCCTTAGAGCAAAACGCTCAGGTATGGCCGACGATGTCCCACCACAACGTATCAGCCCTTTAGAGCGAAACGCTCAGGTATGGGCGACGATCTCTCAGGATGAAGGGCCCGCAAATTGGCCCACGTCTTGAAACGAGAAGAACACTGCGTCGTCCTTGCGCTAAATCGCAGGGCGGCAAGCCTGAAAGAAGGCCGAGGTGACAAAATCTCCAAACTTGGGGTTGGGAAACGGTAGCTGTCGATAACCGACCAAAACCCTGAGCCCGCGCCATAAATAGACGACGGGACCCCCCCAAGATTAAGGGGCGATCCAGCACCAGAGGGCTAACAACTACCCTCTTGGACTCCCTACCGGCCGAGGGAATAACAACCCCCTTGGCCGAGCCTGAAAGAAGGATCCCGCACTCCTCGCTCAAAGAAGTAAAGAGGAAGTAACAAAAGAGGGAAGCTGAGGACCGTGCACTCGCCTGCCTCGAGCGAGATCCCCACAAATCAAAAGAGGGACAGTCGAAGGACCATGCACTCGCCAGCCTCGAGTGAAATCCCAACAAATCAAAAGAGGGAAGCCGAAGACCGTGCACTCGCCAACCTCAAGCGAAAACCCCACAAATCAAAAGAGGGACAGCCGAAGGACTTTGCACTCGCCGGCCTCGAGCGACATCCCCACAAATCAAGCCACATATTTGACTTAAATACACATCAGGCAAATACTTTGCATTATGGACGAAGCAAGACCATACATGCGGATCAGACGAGCGTCCAACACCGTCCTTCATCTTCAGACGAGCGCCCAGCGCCGTCCTTCATCTTCAGACCGGCGTCAAAGCTTGGTCCTTCATGTGACGACCGGCTTCATCAGCGCCATCGTCATCAGGGGACGAGCATCTAGCGCCGTCCTTCACCTTCAGATGAGCGCCCAACGTCGTCCTTCACCTTCAGACGAGTGTCCAAGCCTGGTCCATCATCAAACCGACTCTGCCTTCCCTCATCATCAAATGAGCTTCCAACGTCGTCCATTATTTTTAGACAGCCTCATAAGCGTCGTTCTTCATCTTTAGACGAGCGCCAACGCCGTGTCCTTCATCAAAGGACTGACTTCATCAGCACTGTCGTCCTCAAAGGACAGACGTCCAACGACGTCCTTCATTTTCAGATGGACGCTCAGGCCCGGTCCATCAGCAAACTGGCTCATCAGCGTCGTCCTCATAATCAGACGAGCCTCCCACGCTGTGCTTCATCTTCAGATGGCCTCATCAGCGCCGTCCTCATCATCATACGAGCGTCCAACGCCGTCCT